GTGTAGGGTCTTGTATCTTGTGAAATCATTTACACATGTAGAACATAGTGGTAAAACGCAGGTAGTTCAGATTAAACATAGTAGATGTGCTTTGCACAGGGAAGCAAGTACCTTTGGGCAGTGTGATGAAAGAAATGTATGTGAAGATGATATCCCCTTTTGAAACACCATTATTGATGACATCTAAGCGATTTCTGTGATAATTTGCTCTCTGCTGAGGCGTGTTGCTGAAATTATAAAAAATATTGTAGGCTGTTGTGTCCAAAAATCATTCTTTGCTGATTGTTCAGTATGGCCTCAACTAAATTTACATTTCAGAAAAAAAGACTAATTCAGAAGCATTATTCTTATACTGTTGCTCTGTCTCCAGTGACAGAATGCTTGCATTAATTCATAGTACCTGTAAAAATAACAGGTAGATCAAACAATAATAAAAATAAAAATGATTGATCTGCCTACAGATCATCAAACATCCTTACTTCATAAAATTCAGACAAATATTGTTAGTGTGTCACCAGTTTTAATCTGCTCAAAAAGCCATCTAAATGGCTTGGGCTGTCCATGCTTTGTATCTCAAAGTCAGTGGAGATAGAGCAGTGATTTAGAGGATGCACATGTAGCCAGACAACAGAGAATTAGTTACTCCCTGTATACAAATACACCTACATGCAAATATATCCTGCAACTACAGACTAAATACCTGGAGGCTCTTTCCATTAGGGTCATCTTATTCAGGGAAAATCTGTCTCTGAGTGTTGAAGAGAAGTTCAGCCAGCCTGTGTGCCATGGCAGAGGGAGGCTGGAGTAATAATCAGAAGGAATGGCAACGCCTGCCGTCAGCAAAGGTGGAAACCAACTTTCTAATCCCCACGGGTCATGGGGGTGGGCAAAAGCAGTGTCTGATTTCCATTGTATTCAGGCTGCATGTCTTACGCATATCTGGTGATGGTTTAGGCATTTTCTGCTCAGTCTTACCCTAAAAAATTTGCATCATAAAATGCTAGAAATGGCAAATAGAGTGCTAAACTCAACCCAAGCAGACTGCAAGTTCTTGTACGTAAAATCCATCCAAACAGTCACTGCATGATAACAAAGATCATGTTTATCTATTAGATGATAATGTTCATTACTTAAAATGTCATAGTTTGCTCCAGAAATAACCTTGTTATCTGGCCTGAGAAAATTAGGAAATAATCTTAATGTGAACTCCTAACGATGAGGTCTTAACACTTCCCTGTAGGGTGAACTCTAAAAGCTTAACAAGGATAGGTAATCTCATTTGTCATTCTCCATATAATATTTTAAAAGTTAAATTAATGCAAACAACGTGAATTTGGTTTGTTACAGTAAATATCTAGATCAATCAAATTCCCAGTAAAGCATTCCAAAATTTTAGACTTGCTTCAATGATTAGAACATGAATTAACTTCTTATCATTTCAGGAGATGCAGCATCATTAGAAGCAGCAGGTATTTTCACCGAGTTCATATTCAGTCACAAACCTTCTATCTGTAAATTATACTTTCATTCCAATGCCTTGTGTGTCCCCTTCCCAGATGAGCACCCTGCTGGCATGGGTACTGTTCAAAATGGCACAAAAAGATGGTTCATGCCCCAGTGATCTGCAAAGTACTCTGTGAAGTTTGTGTTTCAGGTGGAGGGAAGAATGGAGTGAAAATTAAGTCTGGCTACAGGAGCAGTTCTTGGTGATGGAGGTGACAAATCATATGGACTCACAATCATCATATTAAAAACTGCTCCCTCGGAGAACCTGCTGAACAATCTTGAATTGTGAAATCATTCACATGGCAGTGTTACTAGAAAATAGCACACTGGCAGGGTGTAGAGTGAATTTAGTAGAATAAGGCTGTTATTTACTTGACAACTCTGCTGCATATAATCAGGTTACTGTGTGGAGCTTGAAATATGTGCAGCGGTGTGGTTCAGAGGTCTGTCTGAAATTCCCAAGCCAGGGCACCGCTGTGAATCCAGCCCAGGAGCATGGCGCTCTGTAGCAAGCTGCCCAAGAAGCTGAACAACTAGCCTGCAGGAGCTTCCATCAGCCCTGGGCTAGCTAGTGTAGGTCACGTCAGGTGTTCAGTGCCAAAGTCACACCTTCTTCGTAAGAAGTCTTTAGGGATTCCTTCAGTTTTTTAGTGTACCAAGTGATTTTTAATGGAGTTTATATCTATTACAGGAAGAAGAGGTGTATGTTGAAAACACAGATGTAGCTGTGGTGTAAATGAGATAATGGCAGAGCTCCAGTACAGCTGTGCCTTGCGAGGGGGGAGATGGGACTGTGCTGGCAGCAGTTAGGAGCTCCTTATATCCCTTTCCTGTTACCTGCGTGTTGGTATTTTGAGTGTGAGCCTTAAATAGCATACAGTAAATTGTGTCCTCGTTGGAGACGTTTGCAGCTGCCGAAGGAAGCAGCTTTGTCATTCTCATGGACGTCAGAATGAATAACTGGTTTCCTTTGCCTTACCCTACCCCATCTTTGCAGTGTGGGACAATTAATAGAGAAGTACTCTGTAATTCCTGCAGCACAGGAGGAATTTTCTTTAGAGATGGATGGGGGCACTAGATGTCCTTTCTGGTCTTAGCCTGCCTCTGAAAAATTAGAGAGGGAAGTTCCAGTAATTTGACTTGAACTTCTGCCTCTAGCAATGGAGACAGAAGTTTTCCAGTACTTATAATTTGATTCATGACTCAATTATGAATACAATTTTCAAATAGATCTCAAAATTGTGAAAGGGATCTTTTTCCTAAAATGTCAATTAATTTGTCCATCTATCTCATATTAAATCTATCCTATTTAATTGCCACCATGTCGGTTGATTAAAATATTACAAACTCACAGAATTTTACATGAGCAACCTACTTTATTCCCAGACAGGGTAGAGCATTCCTTAGTAGATATTCATAAGCGCTGGTATCATTTTAACTGTCCCAGCAAACAAGGTCTCTACCACTTCCTTTGGAAGTGTGTATTGCAATAATGGTCATATTGGTTTAGAAAGAGCCTACACTTCTTTCTGTAACAGTCATTTCGAAGTTAAAATAGGGGACTATGTGCTGTGGTCTTCCAAAAGGTTACAACAATAAATGCTCTGGTCTTACTGAAAGAGCAGAAAGGACCTGTATGTTTTATTTTTGTGTTGGATTTTACTCCATGTGAAGAGGTTAACTTCTCTGAGCTTATTTGTGAAAGCTGTATGAAAACCACTGCAAGATATGCACTGGAGGCATTTCATAATCAAAAACTGTCAGTTTTTAAACCAAATGAAGATGACCAATTGATTTCAAGTTTTAGTTAGCCCCAAAGGTAAAATTATCATCCCCCAAATAGGTAAACAAATTCAGATAAAATATGGTTGGTTTTGTTTTGAAAAACAAAGAACACTGCCCCTCAAACAACCAACAATACCCCTCAACTTTTCCCCCTCTTCGCCCTCCCCCAGCAAATAAACCTACCTCTGGGCTTTGAAGTGAAACCTTCCTGTTTTATGCATCTTATGCATCGGTGGATTCTAGTGCGATTACAATCAGGAATTATTACAATCTAATCAGACAGCTTGGTTTTAGGGTGCATCAGCCTTCTTTTCCTTCCCAGATTAAAACAGACCTCAATTAACTGTGGAATATTTCCTGAAACTGACAGCTGCCTTCATTACTTATGCCTGATACAAAAGTTTTTGAATTCCCATTGATACTAGTGTCTTTGAATAAGTCACCTTTTTGAGACTCATCCTTTACAAATTTCAGTCTTTCATTCGCTACCAATTTGACCGAGGTTTCCCAACTCAAAGGTAAGGAGAAACACTGCCGGAAGAAAACAAGCAGCACGCAGAAGGGAGAATTGATTTTTTTGTAGCAATTAAGTACTGAATTGTAACAAATAATTGGTTTATGATGGCGGTCTGTTTAGCTGAGGTTTTTTACCTAAGACACTTGATCGAAATTAAATCTTTAAACCTTTTAATCTGTAGGACTTGCATAAATACTGTATTTGAATCAGAGAGTAGTTACCGCAGAAGCATGGATGCTCCTCAGCTGTGCTGAAATACCTGAGGCAGAGCGTTGTGAGGCACGTGGAGTACGAGTCATTTACAAAATCAGTGAAAGCTGAGCACTTCTAGGGTGCTTCAGTTGCCATTGTGTGAGGGAATTTCACATTGTGAGAAATGTGTTAAGGGGACAATTTATACTTTCTGGTATTTTGTAGATTGGAATGAATTTTTAATGGCCCTAAGCATTATCTCAAAATGGTTCAATCATCTAAGCAGAGCTAACTGTTTTGGCTTTTCTAACCTAACGTGTACTGTGTTATAAATGTACATTATTCATGCTAAAAAGCTTTTTCAGATATGTTTTATGATTATTGTGGGGATTTATGTGTACTATATGATATATGTGCATACTAAAAGAGGGAATATGCCCAGGGTTATGTGGCATGTCTAAAGTTACACCGAGTTTGATGGGATGAATTCAGACCTGAGTGCCCAGGAAATGAAATGGGAGAAAGACTTTACATTAATGCTTTGTGAAAGCCTCTCTCCACAGTGTGAGAGAAGAGGAGGAGTATAAAAGACAGGATTTATAAATCACAGCAACTCTCTACACCCCTGTAGAAGATGCCACTGTCCACAAAGACTAGTGAGTAACAGGCGCCTGCCTTTGAGGTGACAGTTGGCTTGAGATTGCACCCCCCAGTTTTCCTGTGTGAAACGAGTTGACCATGTTTCCGACCTATAAGCATATGCAGACTTAATTGATGAGAAGCACCGGCTTTGCCCAAGCTGTCACCGATGCACAACTGCCATGCAGGTTCACACGAGTGTGCACGCTTGTGCTAGCTTCAGTTCAGCTGGAGCAGCCTGCGGGGATGGCCAAATCCTGATGTGATGCAGAGCACCTGCCTTCCCCGGCTGCTCAGCGCTGTGCTTGACCAGACTGGTCCCCAGTGCACGTCTCAGCCAGCTGGTGGAGAGCATGCAGCCACCCATCTGCTCCTGGTGTAGTGTCCCACTTGGATGTGTGCGTGCTGCTGGAATTACGGGGTTAGCACGTGCTCAGTCACTACTAGAGAATACATAGCTATAGCTTGCCTTAAACCTCTCCATTCTTGCCTCTTTATCACCTCCCCACCTGAGCAACCAAGAGTGTAAGCTTGCAGCAAAAACATATCTTGAGCTGGAAGTTTTGTATGGATGAACTGGAGCTTGGTTAGAGGCAAAACTCACGTTACGGCTCAGGTGAATGCTGCTGCGAAGACGACATGCCCACAAAGTGTGTTTAGAACCCGTTATGATTCAGAGGAGGCTACAGCACGGGAGGTGTCCATGAATGAAGCTGATGGAGTGACAGGGTAGGAGCAGCTATGCAGCTCCACACCTATGGCTACAGGAGGTTGCAGAAATGGGATTTTTAGAGATTTTTTTGGAGAGTTGTTCAGCCATAACAGCATCTTCTGTTGCAAAGGAGCAATTTTCATCCCTATGGAGAAGTCTGTGGCTGCCCAAAATGTTATGTATATCCCAACGTACAGCAAACAATTTTTCAATTTCTGTAGCTTTAGAGCAATGACTACCCTTGAAAAATGTCATCTATAAGACAAGATGAGGATAATACTTTTAGGCCATTACTGGCCTTGTTATGAGACTGTTTGAAGTTGAATTGCCTATTTCACAATACACCTTTACCTCATACAGCCACTGCTGAGCATGGAGAGAGCTCAGTCTAGACTAGATAAATCCTCCAGTCAAGTGCTTGAAATTTTAGAAAAGGGGCATGGACGTCAGGTCTCCTGGGAAGTTTGAACAAGTTCTTCCTGGATCTCTCAGCCTCAGCTCTTATGAGATTCTTGTTAATGAGACTTCCTTTTTTTGGTATTTCAGCTACCCATCTGCGAAATAAGAGTGGTAATACTTTTAATAACTGTATGGTTAGTAAGAACTTTTAAAAGCATATTGATAACTTCTAATGAAAGACGCAAATATGAGATGATGATGGTATATATGGGATGGACTGTTATCTATTCTGTTTTATAGTTACAATTCATGTGCCCTACTAATGAGAAGAGATAACATTCACTTTGATTTACAAAAGAAAAATCAGTTATTTTCATATCTCTGGATAGAACTTTTATGCAACTATTATTATGACACAGTTTTGCCACTTCTATGGAAAATGAAAACTGCCTTTTGAAAAAAGCATTACCTAAAAATGACATACTAGGAGATGGACTCATTATAAATATCCCCTAGAAAATGGTTATCATGGTGCAATTATGTATTAACTGGCTGCAATCATACAGATTCTTCTGTGTAATAGGGATTTATCAATTTGGTCATCACTCATTAATTTTCAAGGTGAAATTTCCACCATTCAGTTGAAATGTTTGTAGAGATATTTCTGAGTGCTTTGCAGTACATCATATGCATTTAGATGTCTGATAAAAATATGTCTGATTTAACAGGACTCTTGCCAACTATCTGGTGTGGAGAATGGTTTATTCAAGGTTATTTAACCTCAGTAGACGCTTTCAGTATCGGTGGCTGGAATTTTCTCGGGTAAGTTAGAGTTTTTATAGCATTTACAATGGTACAAGTGTTGACACTATTGATTTCCCTTATAGATGCTTATACCTTTGCAAAACATGAAATATTTTCCATGCTGGATAAATTTCTTGAATAATCTTTTTTTGTTGTTGTTGTTTAAGACTGTCTCTAAAATAATTAAGACATACATATTCCTGTATATGACACTAAGGAAAAAAATGTCTTTTAGGTTATATTAAGGAGTTTTGGACACCTTTCCCCTAAAAAGCTTAGTCCTGTTATGCACAAACTTGAAAGCTGGTAAGTTTTTGAGCTATGTGCCAGGGCTGTGACTTGCACTATTCCTGCAGGCCAAACAGGTTTGGCCAAAATCTAAGCTTTTGAAAAAAACTACTGTTTTATGTGTGCATGAATATAGCTCTGGTAAAGCAAAAGTCTAAGATTTCATGTTTTCTAAGCTTGCTCAAACTGCTGTCATGCTCTAGTGCCAGCATTACATGAGCTCTCCAACATATATACATGAGCCATTTCCACAGAGAATCCAATGAGGTGCCTTTTAGCTTGGGGTTGCAGAACCCCCAGAAGACGTTAGTTAGTCATTGCCCCAAGCTATGAGAGCAGAGCTAATTATCTCTTAAGTAATGTGGGCATTTATGTAAAACACACACATTTGATTAGGTGAACCCTGAATAGAAAGCCACCCTGATAATCCTGTGGGCAGCATGAGGGGTCTTTAAGCAAACCAGGGATGAAATTGAAACCGAAAGGTGCTTTGTCACCTTGTTTCCATGCCACCTTAGTTTAGATAGTGAACTTTTTGTTTGTTGTTATGAAAATTAGCTGCTTGGTGACATCACGACAACAGGAGGCTGTTATGATGCTGCCAGTGATGTGGCACAGAAGGTGTGGGTGTTCAGTCCTCCCTGGTGAGGCATGCAGGTGGCTAATTGAAGCACCCATAATGTCTGTCTTGACTGGTACTGGAATAGTTCTGAGCTGATCACATACCTAAAAATAAACTCCAAAGAGCTTGATGGGAACTACACAGAAAAGGCAGTCTCTTATACTTCTGAAATCATATTCAAATTAGTCTTGTTAAAGATGCCTTTTTCTTTATGCAAAAAAATGTGAGAAACTGGCTGTCAGAACCACAGCCACAAGTTTGTAAGTGTGTCCTCTCCTGTGACGTTCCTTGCTAGCCAGGTAAAATAGATTGATGCTGGCCATCAGCCAGTCTGCAGCATAATACTGAGTTATACTGAGTTATACTATGGCTAGAAAAATTCCTGGAAGGAAACTTTAAGCTTTGGATACTGTGTGTTTCAATGTGGTAACTAGCTGCTGTCACTTCTTTGGATACTTTCTTCAGAACCTTAGGGAGAAATCTAATTCAAGTTGATTCAATGCTTATTAATAATATCATCAAGGGTTTCATGTAAGTGGTTGTGAAAACTTAACAGCACAGTAAGGGCAGTGAGCCAGCAGCTTATTCCTATTATCTGCCCCTGGGACCTGGAGATGGAGAGTTAGTTAAGCGCAGTAAACAGCAATAGCTAATCGTTAATAGCTAAAGTTAAGCATGGTAAACAGTTCAGGGAACAGACTTCACAAGTCAGCAGAAAGGACATGAGAAGTGGAGTCCTAGGCAAAGGCTGTGGAGAACAGATTAGCTCAGTCAGAGGCTGGAGGAGTAAAGGCACACAGGTCCTTTGGGATCATAAAAAGGACCCACCAACCTCTTGCCAGGTAAGTGAAGAAAACATTGAATGACTACTAAAAAGACACGACCATGAGATGAATTTTGGTGACCCTTAAAGCAAAGGATATCTTTTATTCATTTAGTCAGCCGGTCAGCCTCACCCATCGTGAGCATAGTATTTTTTTCACCAGGTTCTCATTTTCTGTTGGTGGCTTTAACATCTCACATGTAGAAACCGTAGCATCAAGACACTGAAACTCTTTGCAAAGAGAGGGAAAAAGCCATGATGAAACTTCAAAAACCTTCAGGTTGAGAAATGGGACAAACCTGCTGACTCTACAGAAAGTGCTTTGATTACCACATCAGCAACTATCACCAGCTCCTCTGCGGTGGTGCTTTGAGTCCTAGCAAATGTGCGGTGGTGCCTGGGGAAGAGATCAGTTAACTGTGTTGTGGAGCTCTGCATTGACTGGGAGGGCTTGAAACCTCATATTTATAGTCACTGTTGCTACCTGGAGCACTGTGTTTTAAAGTGGTACATTAATATTAAGAGGACGATTTTGAGGGAGTTCTATTTGGCTGTTGTAACATAAATATCAATAAAGCAGCTGTGAGATGTAATCTGTTCCTCTCAGCTCTATTTTTATTGGTCTCACAACCTGTGTTGCCTTTCTGTCCTCCTTACAGTCAAGCCTCCCTCAAAATAACAATAATTATTATGTTGCAATAATAATATGTCACAGTCTAAAAGCCAGCTCCGCCTCCTGATTCTTTCTGCAGCTGATGTGTAGTCAGAGCTTCCAGAAGGAATTTCAAGCTCTGATGACTAATGCTATGACTCCCCTTCTTCCTCTGTGCTAGGAAAAAGCTCCACTGTGGTTTTACTTGGACCCTGGAGACAAATTTTCGTGTCCCTTTTTCCTTCCTTCCTTCCTTCCTTCCTTCCTTCCTTCCTTCCTTCCTTCCTTCCTTCCTTCCTTCCTTCCTTCCTTCCTTCCTTCCTTCCTTCCTTCTTTGCTGTGTTATATATGAGGGTTGAAGGATTTGGAAAAAGAGTTTATTTTCAAATTTGGCTCTGTTTAGGAAGCTATTACCTTCTTATTATATATTGGTTTGCCCATTGTGGTTTTCTTACAGAAGCAGCGTTCTCTCTGTCATTGAAAATCTATTAGTGCACATACAGTATTAATAAAAAGCATTTGAAAATGCAATTCACTGGTGTATTTAAGTATGAGTCATTGATTAAGCTTAATTACAGACAATATGATGGAGAAAATCAATCTTTGAACTACCAAAATATCTGACCTTCAATAGCTGAGTGCTAAGGTACTCTGGAATTTTCCAATGAAATCTTTTCCTATTGGAAAAACAACAAATCCAAACCCTTCAGTTTTGCTAGAAATTTAATCTTGGGCTCAAAGGAAGAGAAGGCTGGGAAAAATAGTAGGCTTAGAAACTACTAGATCAGTGCTTAAAAGGCTTGTTTAATCTGTGAGAGGCCAAAATCCTATCCCGTCTGAGCTGGTCTGGTGGTGACTGCACTCTGGTTTTACACAGCTGACAGCTGTTAACTACTGGACTGGGATTTTGCTGCTTCTCTGTCAAAAAGCTTAATAAGTTCCTTAAGCAGAAAAGGAACTCTTTGAACCTTGAAAACAACAGAAGTTTCTTAAATCAGCACTGGATTTGCTATTTGCTTACATGAACCCATCTCATATTTTGTGTTGTGTGTACTTTTTTTTTTTTTAATGAACTTCTACCTTGACAAGAAAATGTAATGTTAGTTGGGTAAGTGTCCCCAGTAACAACATTCTTCCCGTGAGAAACTGAAACCAAGGCAGCAATGTGCTTGAGCTCTATTTTGCCTTGTTCATTGGTGTGTTGACCATTCTTGGCTATTTCTCTTTTGAAGGTCATGCATGGCGTTATAGGGACATCAACAAAGCCTGGAAGGGTCTGTCTAACTACCATTCTTTTAGTAAACTATGCAACCTCTTTCTACTGTAACATGAAGCAAGATTTTTTGGGGACAAACACATATTCAGTGTTCTTGATCGTTCACATCTGTTTTCTCCTGAAAATACTTTGGGAAAGGGACTGAAAGCAACTATGTCTTTTACACAGGCTGTGGTAAGAGTAACTAGACAGGTAAATGGCAAAAAGGTGTGGACACATACCTACCAATGTTAGACATCATTAGTTAGACAGATAAGTTTGTGGCAGCGGAGGGCTCTGTAGGAGGTGTTTCATGAGGACTGACCTCACTTTCATGAGGATGATCTCCCGAGGCTTCTCACCTAGTCAGTGGAGAGAGGAAAAAAAAATTTTGGACATATCTCAGAGCAGGGATTTGCTGGAGGAAAGTGTCTCTTGATTGAACACTGAAAGACTTCCAAAATTAGTCTAAAATTTTCACTTGGGAATGCCTTCCTGTAACTAACCCTCTAAGTCTAGTCTCTAGGTCATTACCATTTTACTATTTCTAACTTTAAAATCTTACAGCTATTTTGTGGGGGTCAAAAGATTTGTCGATAACTGTAAAGTATGGCTATTGTTTCTTTTTGGTAGCTCTTTGACAAATATGCTTTACATTATACTTTATGTGGATGCAGACTTGTTCTTATTAAACAGTATGATTTTATGACTTCCTACATGCACCTGCCAACAGGTGATCCATGGAACCACAACTTTGCTGCCCCAGTGGGATAAATGTGTGGACCTTGTTGAAAGTGCGCTCCCTTACGTTGTGGGCAAGATGTTTGTGAATGCCCATTTTCAAGAAGACAAGAAAGAGATGGTGAGTGCTCTGAGATCTCTGTCTAGAAACTTTTAAGGTCTCACAAATTGTCTCTGATGTTAGACTGAAGTTAAAAAAAGAAACAAGATTCTTAAAAATTGTTTAATTGAACTAAAAAAAAAAAAAAAAAAAAGTCACGTTTTTGTCCATCTGGGCACTGCCCATTCTTTGCATCTGCAGCCCTTCAGACAAATATGTAGCCAGATCAAAACCAGGGTGAACCCCATTAATTTGCATAAATGACAGCCAGGCTGTGCAGGAACAGTGTGATGGGTATTGATGAGAAATGATTTAGTATAGCTAGTGTAACTCATTATAGTAAAGTTTTTACTGACTAGTTAAAAGACTAGTCAAGATTTCTCTGCTTCAGGGCACCCCCTTTAAAGCCGACTGTGCTACACCCATACTCTAAGCAAGAAAAATGTAACTGATATCTGGCCCAAATTAAGAGAAACTTAGAGCCACATAGTGAGAGTTTATATTTGTGATTCAAATCGGTTTTGCTCAACAGTGAAAGAAAGTATTCTTCTGCACTCCTGAGTCGAGAGAATAGCTTTTAGCTGGATGTTGATCCTCACTCTAAAACTTCAAACATAGCTACTTTATCACGTCTCTTAATAACTTATTCAAATGATTAATTACCCTTCACAATAATTTATGACATATTTTCAGTTTATATTTTTTCATAAGGTTTTCCAATATCTGCTTTTTCAGCCATTGATTTTCCCACAATAATCAAATTAAAATTAGCTAATTTAGTCATTGAATTTAGCTCTCGATGTGCAGGAGAGGCACAACCATTTAGGAAACATGTGAAATAGCATCCTGTGCTGGGAGCGACAGCTCTGTGATAGTCCTGCACTACCCTGGCTCAGTAGCCTGAGTTTGTCTGTCTGACTATCTAGTTTGGCTCTTTTCTCAGGGCAGGACTCCATTTTAGACAGACCAACACTCTGATTTGGCTTCTCCAAATCTCTATGATGTGTGTTTCCCCCTCAGGTTCTGCATTTCCTTTTGCTACTTGTCTCCAGCTTTTCAGTTCCCTGATTCTTGACTGAATTTGTAATGTGCTATTTGGCAGTTTAGTGGCCAAAATATTTCAGTGACCTCTGCGCAGGCTAAGTGGGAAGAGAAGGAGAAATGTATGCTTTATGGAGGGGATGGGCACTTTTTCCCCTCATATATGAGGGAAAGTTATGAGAAGCTGATAGAGAATGTTTTTCTGTTGAAATGTGACCTAATTAAAATATTTCTTAGTATGCAAATTCTTTTCAGACCAAATATTTTAAAAATTATCAAGTCTGAATTCACAGTAGTATCCATAGTGTAGATCAGAAGATTCAGATCTATAGTGAACTGCCCATGGAGATAAAATCAGATGCAAGTGAAATTTGTTGCAGTCCATCCAGAAGTGTGCTTTTCAAGTTAATTATTTGTGGTGTTATCATTTTAATTTCACTTGTTTTCAGTTCTATTTCTCTTTCTCAAGCAATAAGAAAGCACTTGAGAAAAGCACTCTTACGTATATAGGTTTGGGGGTTTTTTTATGCTCGTGGCATATATCTGTCTATGATAAGCAAATTCTGAGTTATAGATAATACGGATTCTTTTTCCTCCATGTTTAGTCACTGATGTTTCATGCCTTAGATACTTCTCTCCTTTTATCAAGAAAGACATTATTTGTGTCTAAATATAGCACTGTTTCTAACCCAGAGTGCCTGCAGCGTTTCTTACAGCTATGCCCGAGCAGTTTCAGTAATAACTTTGATAGCAGGAATACGTTTCTCCCCCTGCCCCCTGCAGCTACAGCTGGTGCATGAAGCCTAAGTATACACCAGGGCCCAGCTGTAGAGCTGGAGTTTGAACTTGTAACCTCCAAATATAGGGAGTTCACCTCATTAGTGCACTAAGTTAATTGAGTCAGTGCTCTGTCATCAATATCTTTAAGTTACCCTATTCCCTGGGCTGCAGTTTACTGTGAATGTTGACTGTTCAGTCATATTTAATGCTAGACCTGTTCCAGTTGTCCCATATTGTCTCTAAAAATACAAAAATGTTTTTTGTAAAGGGTAGGAAAAAATGAATAATCAAAGGAGCTTTGCTATATTTTGCCTGGCTCCACCCCAAATAACGAACAGTTCCAGATTAAAATATACATCTGATACATAAATGACAATTTAGCTAAAGGTAACGTTACTTTCCAGGGTTTAGTCCTCACTTTTAATGACATTTCAGAACTACCAGATCTACAGAATAAAATTATATAGATCTCTGGTACTTGACATTTTCATTATTTTTAAATGTAACATAACTGATAACACAAAGATCCAGTAAGTCTTCATGTAATGATTATCTGTCATGTCTTGTGCTATCTCAACTCTGGTTTGGTCTGTGCTAAGGGACTCCAGTGATGGCTGGATCCCCCGAATCGCCTCACTCTTGCAATATTCTCAGTGGCTATCTGTCATGAGGTTCACCTATTGACATAAATAGAAGCAGCTGATTACGTGTGCCTTTCTGGTCTGTGCTGCCAGACAGATGCATAAGCGTGAGGACATTGCTGCTCTTTAGACTGGTATAATGCACCTCATTCATTAAATTTCTTGTTCTCTGTCATTTCAGGGTTTTCTTAGTGTGCATACTCACTAAACACTCCTATTATTATTTTTTTCACTTGTGATATGCTCGTGGCTTTGTACAGGTGTCCGCAAAACTATTGTTTGTAGAGAACCTGTGAGGAAGCAGCCAAGCTCAAACGGTTGTGGGTTTTCCTGGCTTTGCGCAGAAGCAAGCTCGCTCTGGTGGTTCAAGACCACAGAAGCGGTCAACGCTGCTCTTTGTTGTGAGCCATGGCCTCTATCCCTGCAGTAAGAAAGGGGTAGGAGTAATTCACAAATAAAGCTAAATATGGGCTAAATATTTGGTCACTGATTTGTATTTGGATCATGATAGTGTCAGCCCAAATTTGGTCCTTTGGCAATATTAATAAGACGTCTCTCAGTCTGACATAAACCAAACAAGGCTACAGATGCTCTCTCGACAGAAAATGCTTTATTTGTGCAATTGCCTTGCAGCTGGCGTATTCTTCTGCATGGGCTAGTGCTCTAGAACCAAAGTGTCAGAAATCTCCCCAAATCACTGCATTTCTCCCAGTATTTTTTATGATTTCAAGGCAGCCATTCTCACAGCTGTGACATGAAAGGATCAGCAATGAACAGGTTGTGTGGTACAACTGAAGGAAAAGAAAACGTAAAGAAACTTATTTTCAGAAGTATCTGAGGACTGGAGAAAGAAGAAATCAGCCTTCAAGAAAGAACAGCAGCAACTGATTCAGAATCATTCATGGTCTAACCAAATCCATTGCTCCTGCATGCACCAAACCTTTTCTTATAATGATTCTGGCATGACATATTTTACTGGGGAGTGATTTGCTAAATGTTTTGCAGATGGAGGAGTTGACTGAAGGAATTCGCTGGGCTTTTATTGACATGCTGGAAAAGGAAAATGACTGGATGGACTCTCAAACAAAAAGAAAAGCTTATGAGAAGGTAATAAATAAAAACAGTGGGTGGGTATATTCATGTTACGGTAAAGATCTGAGTTGAGTGAGAACAGAATGTCATGGATGGTACTTGCAGTTCCAGTTACTTTTTTTTTTTTTTTTTTTGTGAAAGGACATGTGCCACATTTGTTTTGCTAGAAGCTGAGCCACCTGAGCTCCTGCTTCTCTGCTGAAGTTATTTTTGTTACCTCATTCTTCCTCCCTTGCCCCTATCTTTCCCCACCTGGCTCTGGCTGATGTAGACTGGGAGCTCATTTCAGATTTGCATGTAAAGAGGCTTTTCTTGATAAGGTCTTCAGCCTTGATTGGGATGTCAAAGGTGCACCAACCTACAAAAATGATGTCTAAAAAATTTGGGTATTCAGTGTGAAGATGGAGGCTCCAGTCTAGAAAGGGACTATGAAAATAGCCCAGGTCTTGTACCTTCTCCAGCATCATGGTGAGAGGCCTACCTTGAAAGCCATCTTCCAGCAGTGCAATGGCCATCCCAGCTGAACACCCATCTCCTAGAATAATGCCAGTTATGAAGTGTTGTGGTCAAGGATGGCATTACCGATCCTGGTTACTTTCAGATGGAGTTACAATAAAATGGAGGAGGTAAAGGTGAAGGCAGGAGGAGGTACTCAAAGCTCCCACGTTTACAGCATGTGATACATGGAAACAGAGCTTGTCCTAAAGCAGATCTCTGCCCCCAGAGCAGCAGTTGGAAGAGGCATAAACAAGTAAGAGTGGAGGTCAATGTGTAGGACTGTGTCATTATTTGATGAAGCAATGGAATATCAGTGAATTAGTAAATACCCTCTTTGAATAAACTGACATGCAAGTGCAGCTGAACTGTTCCTGCTCACTGTGCTTGAATAAAAGTAACAGTGTTTTGATTTAAAAAAAACACGGACTTCAAAGTTTTTTGGTGATTCCAGTGAAAAGGCTGTTGAGAGATTTTATCATTGGAAAGTTTTAAATTCCATATACAGTCCATTTGCATTTTATACAGCAGTGCTCTTCACAGATGTGCAAATGAAATAGAGCTGCATAAATGCACCAATAAACTCTATAGCAAGAGAACAACAGTAAGATGTCATTTTTTTTCCTGCTAACCTGATGGTAAATGGCCTGCAGTTATTACTTCTTACTGGCTGTTATACTTTTTTTTTTTTTTTTCCTAGAAACACCCTTAGAAATGTAATGATCTGTAATTCAGATACTTGACAAATTTGGTGAAAAAAGAAGAGCGGGAAGATTTTCTAATTATTTCCTTAATAGAGATATTTCTATATACCTTTACAGGTATATGCAAGTCTGATGTCGATTTCTCTAGCAAACAATCTGCTTAACCCTTTTATTCAAAATTTGCTACCTGCCTTTCAGCAGAGAAACAATACAAGCATAGCTGCAAACTAATAAACCCCCTAAAAAGCTCTCTGTTTCCCAGTTTAGGGACAGTTTTGTTCAGAAGGTAGGTTAGAACTTTTGTAGGTAGAGATACCTGTTTCCCTCTGTTGACACATTTAGGAATCTCCCAATTTAGGCATCTCATTTAAGTTTCTCAAGCTAATGGGGTGAGTCTGGGCTGAAAAACACATGACAAACTCAATTCAAACAGTACAATAAAAATGATACAAGCCATAGTATATGAATAGCAAATAGTTTAAATCTGTTCTCACTGATTTGAGCAACAATTTTAGAGTTTACTGACATAAGAACAAGGTCAAGCTTGTAAGATACAAGTGTTATATAATGACAGAAATTGCATTAACAAATATGCGGTAGGACTTAGGACTGTAAGTTTAAGTTCAGAGTCACAGAAACAGTTATTTGGCTAGAAGGAAAGAGTCTAGAGAGATATTTTGGTAGATTTCCAGACATTGAGTTTGCACATGTTTATTAAATACTATTTATTGCTAATAATAGATATTGGATTTTTCCTGGGACATTTGGATGGGCATGTTTTTAATTCAAGAAATAGATTTGTTACATGTATGGTCAGATAATTCACTGGGGAAATCTAAAATTTATAATACAACAGAACCTTCAAAATCTGTTACTCTGTTCCAATTAAATCTCATAAGCCCAGCACATTATGCTGTCATTTTTTTTTAATACCTACACTTTAATAAAGCATCACAGACAGTGGAAATTTTGGAGTGGGCATTGTTTGGTTGTTTAAAAAATAAACAGTATTACTTTATTACTTTTATTATATAGATCTGTCAAAGGGACATTTCTTCATCAGTAAGTGTCATCCACATCTGTGAGAGTACTGCAAGGGCCATGGATTTCACAGTTTAGGAAGGAGCTTAGTCTGTTCTTGAATTGAAGAGCAAGCTGTATTGTCCTGGCGGTCTTCTCACTTTTACTCTTCATTTTGGACTACTATCAAAACCAGAAACTAGTGTTATGACAGAACACAGTGGGATGCTGAAGGTACCTTCTTTCAGACGAAGGCCAGAAAGGACTCTCTGCTTTGATCTTCTTGTAGTGGGTCAACCCTGGCTGGGGGCCAGGTGCCCACCAGAGCCGCTCTATCACTCCCCTCTTTCATTAGACAGGGGAGAAAAGGTATAACTAAAAAAAACCTTATGGGGCGAGATAAAGACAGGGAGAGGTCATTCTCTAATTATCATC